ACCGTTTATATAAAAAATCTAGCGAAACGCCTGACGGTCTCTCTATTATTAGTATTATATCTTGTATTTACGTTAACTAAATATTTTTTTTGTTTTTTTTTTTTACTTTTCAGTCAAATTTGAATTATGAATATAAATATTATTCTATTGAAAGGTAAATACGGGGCGTTTTATTTTGCCACACTCATGCGGTTAAGTCCGTTAGCTTGCTACTACGGACACTGAATTCAGAATGCGAGGAATGCTTTTCATAAAAGGCTGACGCTGTATGCAAGAATCAAATAATATGAAATTCACTATTTTATTAAAATAACAAGCGATTCATCTAAAATTTAATATTTAAAAATAAGACTTATTTTTTTTTTGGATAGTGCTTTTTGATTTTGTAAACCTAAACTAACATAGAAAAGCAGTCTAAAGCTCAAAGGGATGTCACTATGTTGTATGCAAGTGTCTCTACGGTGGAAACCTAACCTTAGCGTCAATTGTTACAGTAAACATGTCATCTTCATATGTTCTCGCTCAGCTGAAGTTTTATCTTACTAAGCAAGTCAAGGTAAGGTCATCTTTTCAACCCTTTTTAGAGTTACGTTTTCAATCTTCCGGCCACGGCCAAATGTCTTAAGAAACATATATGAGATATTTTTCTTTTCTAATCAACTATTAAAATTGTATAACTAATATTAATATTGTTTAATAAATAGAACCTTCGATGTCTTATTTTTTAAATCTTTTTCGATATAACAACAAAAGTAAATTTGAACTACCACAAAACCATAGAGAACACCAAGAAGGTTTTTATTTTACAATTTTTTTGACGAAAACTCCCATAAAAAATATAGACACCACAACAACTATATGTCGTGTGGAAAAATAGAAGTTAGAAATAATATTTAAAATCGAAATGCAACTGAAAAATCATTGATGTTTCCATTTTTATATTCAAAAATGTTTAATAAAAGATTCAAATATAAAACATTTTCTATAAAAGGTCAGTGTTTTATTTACTAAAGAAAAAATGCCTATTTAATCTTTGTACCACACGGTCGTTTTATTTCTTAGGCGGCATTCATTTCACCTTCAAAAGTTTAGGTCACACCTCAAGGGAGCTTTCGAATCGCACTGTCAATAAGAAAAGTTTAAGTAACTTCAGAGATTTGAATAATTTACAAACTTTTTACATTTGTAAATAGAGGTCATGTGGATATTTTCAAGTAATAATAAACTTTATAATATTTTCTTATTTACCTTTGTAGTTATTCTGTACGCGTTGTATTCTTAGAACTATAGTAAAAACTTTTCAATTACATATCTCGGTGTATATAGAATTTATATACTTTGAACACTATATACCTAAATGAATAGAAGTAATTAATAGAAAAGACGTAAAAATATGCAAATATAATAATATTTAGAATATTTTTTGACCATAAAGGAAGATGTATAGAAAATATAATTCATAGCTTTTTTTGCATATTTTACGGTATACTAGATTTATGTATTTGGCTGCCACTTCAGCTTACTACTACTTTTGTATTCTTACATATTTTCTTTTTTAGAAATCTAAAAGTGTGAGTTCTTGATGTTGGTACCTTAAGGTGGGTCTCCGCTCGAAGAGCCGAGCACGATTCAGTACGATGCAAATCCCTTTTGTTCCGAAAATACTGTTCATAGGCGAAGCACAGTCCAACAAGAACCAAACGCAGAATCGCGCACGCTCAAAACTTGTAACGCCTGGTTTAGATTATTCCAGTCCAATATGCCAGTAACGATGATTAGAATGGACTATTTTGACCACTGTCAGAGTTAGTCGAGGTTAATTTGTGTGTTTTTTATTATTCTAGTCATATACTTATGTATTAAAGGAACAGAAAAGTTAAATGCAAAGCGATGTAGAACAAATCCACGCTAATGACGGGATAGCGACGCTTAGTCGTTCTACAAATGAAACGACGCGTCTTAAAGACATTTTTAATGAGTTATGCCAGTCCTTTTGTGCCAGGGACAGTCGTGACTTGTATATATCTTATTAAAACATCCTTTTCTTTAGCTTATTAAATGTTAATAAGTTAGTAGTGCAGGATTATATTAAAGGAGGTTACTTAAATAATAAATAGTTGACCTTATTTAAACGCGTTGTGTTGTACTTTCAACTATTAAAAGTAAAAAAAAAATACAGACGAATTGATAACTTTAAGAAGTCGGCTAAAAATGTGGCATACAACTAATGTTTTTCGTATGAACAAGTGATAATAAAAAACAATATTAATTTAATCGTTTATAATACGACTTACCACAGACAATGAAGAGCTTAAGCCGGTCGAGTCAGGACAAGTCGGCCGATTAAGGCAAATAATCTGAAAGAGAAGTTTTATGTTGATGTAGATTTAATCAATTTATAGTCGTTCCTTGATGAAGCTGGAGGTAATAATTGCTATATGCAAACTTTTATTTATCAGTAGAAACAAACGTAAAGGTACAAAAATCAGTTGTTTAGTATTCTGAAAGGAATGCTTTATCTGTTGAACCGAGAATGCGCATTGGCTTTTCTACTTAAAGAGGTTAGAATTCAAAAGCATAAAGTGCAAGAGGCGCCCGACCTCAGGAGAATACCAACTGCATACTTTACACGGACACACCACTATCTCAACTTATTTTGTTTATATGTGTTATTTAATATTTAAAAGTTCCATTCCACATGTCTACGGTAATTTATAAAATTTAAATTTATTGTACTAAGGGCCCATGTTACAATAACCTTAAAATTAATTCAGCAAACCACTTGCCTCATAAAGAATATAGTAGCACTTTTAGTGTGAACGGGCAGTTACAATCAAGTTTACCACGCTTTTTGACATTGGTATGTAAGCACCTCTATGGATTGGGGGCGGGAATTGTTTTTTTAAGAAGTGGCTAGAAAAGAGGACTACGTCAATTTGCGGCATATTTTACTTTTATGTGTTAAAATAAAATGGTTTAATGAAGAATGGCGGAATGGCGTCAAATGGAAGTTCGTGGTCTCTGCCAACCCCTCTTTATTAAGGGCAAAGTTGTGTTTAATAAAATAACAAAAGAATTGAATTAGAAATATAACTTACTGCGCGACTAGTTGCATTGAATTTCTAACTAAGAAACAATATGCTACAACTTTAGTTTTATAATTTAGTCTTGGTCTTCCCGCCACAAAATGTCAATATGGCGCCTCTATCCTGGCATAATGCCAGACAACCGCGCCGTTTGGTTTATTTTGAGTAGACCGCGTTTAGTTGACGCCGCGATAACCAACAAGATTGCTTCATATTGAATTTATTTCGATATATTTGGATTTTAAAAAGGAATATTTTCCCGTTATGGACTAAGTTTTGTAATTTTCTACTCTGTGGGAATTGAGTGTAACTGACGTTTCGTTATCAGTTGACGGGAAAAGAAGATGCAAACGTCAATATTTTGGTTAACGTACGTATAGAGTTGTTTTGTTTATGGTAATGATTTTAAAATTGCAAGGGATCATTAAGTTTTTTGAATTTCGAATGATGTAATGTGACTTTATGACATGTTGTTTTAATTTTTTGTTTTTTTATTTCGTTCGAAATTTAATTAGCAATTTATTATATGGCTGCCGTTAAATATTTATATTTTTGTCTTTTGACTGATTGTAATAAAACGCTTAGAATGAACGTTTTAATTCTAATTGCTGATCCCGAAATCTGAGGTCAAAAATGGTTGTTAAATATAAAAGATCTAGCAATTTACTTTAATCTGAAAGTGCAATTAAAATGTACTTAATTAAGTAACGATATTAAAATGTAGTTAACCTAAGTCAATGTTCTTAAAAATACAAAATTTAAAATAGTAACAGGTCAGATACTACGGTGACCTTAAATTTAATTAAGTGTACTAAAATTTGTTACAACACGAAGGTGCTTAAATTATATATTTCAATAGTTATATTTTTATAGTTACTAATAAATACTTCTTGGCATAACAAGGCTCACTTTTTTATACCTATTGAATTTCTTAAATACTTCAAACTTATTTCAGGAGATTTTTAACCTGTCTGTTTTTTAATTATAAGGCTTAAAGCAGTGAATTTAAAATAACTTTCCGTAAATATACCGGCAGATTAAGAGTTTTGGATTTCACGTTAAAAAAATCAGGTCGTAATAATTAGTGAGGGCTTTATCATTAATAGAGAAATCTTAAGAGTAGGGTACGGTCGCCTTACGCTCTAATTATGTCTGTACTCCGGGCCAGCGCAGTTGTATCAAATGAAGAAAAGAGTTTCTTTGTAATCTTTCAACTTGATATTGGCTCATACGATCGCGTACCACTAGCTGACGCCCGAGACTCCGTACGCGCGGAATTAGAAAAAATCTTAATTAGTAGCCCATGTGTTATTCTAGGCTACGTTCTACATCTATGCTAAATTTCAGCAAGATCCATGCAGCCGTTCTTGAGATGGTGGTGATTTTTGGTGATTATAATTTTTTTTTTACTAAGTTCTCCATAAGGAAGAGTTTCCATTGTTGTTGTTTCCATGTTGTTTTTTTTAGTATACGACGGTATTATTATCGATGCCTCCACTTAATGGTTACCTTCGTAAAAAATATAGTGGAAGTGATAAATATATTTTGTTGAGTGCACAATACAAAACATTTTTAAGTGACTTTTAGCAACACTAGAGCGGAATTAGGTCGCGGAGCAATATAGTGCTCGTGTACAACTAGAGATGTTTTATGACATTGTCTCCTTTATAGCCTAAAAATAATTTGGTGTAAGTGGGAGATTTTTTTATACAGAGAAGAAAAACAAGCATAGTATACGCCTTAAAGCCGCCTCTGTTTAATGAAGGTGTTTTTTAGTGTCGGAGAAATCTAATGACACCCTACCTTATGGGGAATTTGGGTTGGCACACGGAGAACAAGAGTACTCTTAGACCCGACGTGCCAACTTCAGTCCCGGGTACTATACACCAATGACCCCTTTAGCAAACAAACGAAATGAAGCGTACTCTCCGAACTAATCAAAACTTGTACTTCTCAGATTTTAGCGCGAACATTCACAGGCATTTCCTTGTAAGAAAGTTACTTGTTTTTGCTAATTATATGACGCTCTAAAATGTTTTGTACTCAATAATGACTTTTTAGATAGCTTGTTTATCCCAAGAAACTGTTTTTTTTTCCAATACAATAAGTCTGAGATGCAATACACCCTACTATAATTGCTTTAAGCAATAAGGTGGGCTTTTTAAAAAATAATTATTAAAAATGTGTAATATATTGAATTTAACCGAACAGCATACACATTATATAAAAGTAGAAATATCTAGACGAAAATAACTACTGTTAATTGATAAGCTGCAAAACTGTTTTCTACTTTGTCAAAATAACACAGAATTGTATGTTACAGTTGCGTACTATTAGTGTTATTGAACACAACACAGGTCATAGGTAAACTGGTGAAATGTGACCAAACACCACCGCAAGCGACCGCGGAAGAGCCTAGTGAAAATAAGGGCCTGTTCAAACTGTCCGTTGAAAGGAAAGACAATGACATGCAAGATGTTTATTTGCCAGATCAAACGTATGTATGTAAGTATTTTTTTGTTGTGCAGTAACTAATTTTTCCCATTGTAATTTTTACACATTAAACAACATATTACTTTAGCCTCGGACTTTCATATGTTAATTTAAAACAGTAGGTTTATAGTCGCGTAATCTAAGCATTTGAAGAATGCACCGGAATAAGCCACTTGAGGTTAGGTGTGTAAGTATTTTTGAATTTTATTTATTACTTCCTTTGGGTATTAGTACACTTAATATAATTTTATATTTTATTGCTATTTAATTTTGACAGGCGTCACTGTAATTAAAATTTTAAGGACAAAAAAGAAATTGTGTGCGTGAAATTAAAGTAAACGGATTAGTAGTCATCGTTTTTTCTTGCGGATATTTTTAAAGAGCTGCTAGACAACCCCTTAAACTACGCCTACTCCTCAAACGTGATATATCACAGTTTTTCACATGACCTGCTACGCTTTGCTTTGAATCGAATAATCCCATAATATTCACGCATTTTTAAATTGAATAACACTATTTCTATCCTTCTCTTCGTCTACGTAAAAAAAATAAACAGAAACAATTCTTGGTTTTAAAGACAATCAATTTAATTTTAAAAACAACGAAATATGGTTTTGGTGGGATGAAAATGAACCAGAGAAATACAAATATTAGTTGTGAGTTTCAACTGCGGATATAGTTATCATAAAATATTTTGTCACTTATTCCTAACATGTGTTTGGGTAAAGAAAACTTCTAATGAAAACTGACATTACATATTAATCTATATCTATTGCTGAATTTACGAATTTTAATTTTAGTAATACTCAAAACAACAAACAAAACACGTCCATTCCGTTGGTTCATGATAACAGTGGAGGATCCTGATGTGGACAACAGCATTAATGAATACGAGCAAGTGCCGGTAGATGTCGGTAGTCTGAAAACACTCGCTGATAATCCACAGTCGAGATACAGTGAGAAATGTTTTAACTCTGTCGAAAGCGCTGATAACTTTGATAAGGAAAATGTAGAGGTATGTAACGTGCAATAGTTACGCTAATTGTCGATATCTATTGCGGAAATACTAGTTTAAAAACATTCTTTTCCCTGATTTTTAAAGGCAATAGAGGAGGAAGTATCTATTACAAAAAGTGGAGTTTATTTAAATTACTCGGAAGGTAAACGTCCGAACTACCCTTACGTTAAAAGGCCAAATTTGATTTTTTTTTGTGTTGTTCATTGACACAATATTTTAACTCTGCTACGACCGAAATTAACTTCACAGTACCACAAGAACTACAATAACTTTTAGATACATTGGGTGTCACCTAAAAACAGTCCGAAACAAATAGTAAGACTCCGCGCAACCGTCGCTGAGAACCAAGAGACGTGGTACACTGATGATGATTTAACAATTTTACTGAAGAAAGATACGAGAAGACCGTTAGACAGCGCCCCACATCCCCCCGTCGAGAACTGTGAACTAAACAGTGAAGCAAGATACGAAGTAGGTAGAACTACTTCTATTGATAGAAAGATGCAAGTAAAATAGTTTAATTGGTGTTAAGTGACTTAATAAAGTTATCATTAGGCCATTCATCAAGAAAAACACATACAATTTACGAAACAAATCGATTATTTTTTTTAAGTTGAGAAAAAGCAATCGACTCAAAAGACTACCTACTATATAGTCTTTCAGTTTTATTTGTAGAACATGCCAGAATAGAGAAAGACATGATTGAAAACAAAAAAAAACATTTTCATTTCAATCCATCAATATTTATGTGCAAAAGACATTCAAAGCGCAATATGTGTAATTGATTTTCCTTAGATCGTGTTCAAAGGTCACTGGTCAAGGTTAACCCATCCTCGTTACTACCCAAGCAAGCCGGATGAGAACGGTTACAGCCACATGGTTGGCGCTTCACACGGCTATGACTATACTCTGTGGCAGTTAGGCACGCCTGCCAGTGCTGGACTTAAATTACTGGCTGAAGACGCTAATATCACTATCATTGAACGAGATATTATTAATAATGTAAGTATAAGAGAACAACATACAGTGTATATGAAAACTAAGGGCTGCAATACATGGAATGCTACATTTCGATACGGAATACTTTAAGCTATTGGCAGTCAGTACCTTATTCAGTCAGTCCCTGTTACTTTTTAACAGCACCAAACTTCGGTCCGTGTATGGCAGAGCTTGTTATATAAGACTGAAAGTATATTTCTGGATCTTGTCACTTTATGGTACCTAACAGAAAACAATATAGTTTGAGTGAGTTCTCATATTGTTCTGACTATCTAATTGAGAGGAGCATGCAGTGCAGTGCACGAAATCAATAGCTCAATACGACACCTCGATGTGATCACATTTTACATTCAAATCTCATCCCTAGTCCATTGAGTTAGAGTTCATTTACAGTTTCTTGTGAACTTACAATATACGCAAATAAACGCACAAAATGCAACTTTATTGCGAATCCTGATTTGAACTTCATACAAAGTAAAGTCCAGTTCATTTCGTTCGTAGAACGTTCTCACAAAAGTTTCCAAATGAATTGCGATTCTGTTCTCATGAATAAAATATTCATTCCAAAATTTTCTTTACAAACTATAATCGTGTATTTGTGGAAATATGCTTTTTTGATACATTTATTTGCAGTGTTTAAATTTAAATATAAATAATTGTCAATTTTTTTAATATGATATTTAAAAAAAAAGCTTTACCCTTTTATGAAAATATCTACATATATAAAAATCAATTGTTGTTCGTTAGTCTCGCTAAAACTCGAGAACGGGTGAACGGATTTATCTTAGCTTGGTCTTGACATGTTCATGGAGGTTTAGGAAAGGTTTAAAAGGTAAGAAAAAATCGAATTATTGCCGGGAACTAATTAAGTTTTTTGCATTCCACGCGGACGGAGTCACGGGCGACAGCTAGTTTTTAATAAAAGTAAGGAAATAGTTTTTTCAGATTATACCGCGGAAAAGTAAGTCTATGATCTCTGCCTACAATGGGTTAAGAGCGTGAGTTATTGTTTGTTTGTATATAAGGTATATTTTGCAGATGTCAGCAACTGGTGGTACAAGAACTCTTATCAGAGGGAAGAGACGACATCATCCAGAAATGTTTGAGCCATCCTACGCGTTGTTCAGAGCGGATAGCATACATCACATGTTCTCAGTGGTTGTAGCCATCAAGCCTTCGCCGGATTGGTTCCTAGGCGCTTCAAGGTTCGAGCTCTGCACTCGCAATGGATGGCTAAAGGAATATAAAATGCCACTCTATCCATGGGATGCGGGTACCATGGATGGTGTATCTTACGAGGTATTAATAAGCAAATATAAAGCAGTATTTTAGTTATGTTGGTGTTCACTAGATGGCGGTAGTAGTATGAATATTGAAATTACGAATCGATATTTTAAACCGAGTAAATTAAAACCAATAAATATCATTTTTTTATACTACTAGTTCTTATAACAATTTAGGTTGAAAAATACTAAATGTGTATAATCGTTGAATTTACAATTTACAAGTAACTATAAATAAAAATATAATATTTATGATCTAAGATGTTTGCCATATTTTCACAAGAACAAAGAAAATATATGAATGTTTTTACAGTCGCCAAAATCGGTAACAAACCCGACAGACAACATTGACAGAGTGGAAATAGGGTCTTTTAACAGCGAGTCGCCCTTCTATCAGATGAACTTGAACGATTTGAAGCCCTTCGCCTACCTACACCTCAAAAGGCTGTCCGTTGACCCGATAAAAGGCCGAAATTGTAACGACGAAAGGCAAGGTACGAATGTTTTTATTACAAAGTTAATATTAGACGATTAATTTAGATTTTACATCATCATTTTATTATTAAAACCAAATTTAGGATTACCTAGCTCTAAGATAAATTTGGTTTACATTTAAGATTATTTACCTTTTAAAGTTATTCTTTACGTTAATCCAGAGTCGACAAAGCATATTCTAATAACATTTGGTTATGGTTTGAAAATATTGTAGAATAAAATATTTAAGCGTTTATTTTCCAGAGCCGCAAACTGAAGATGTACAAAACGAACAAGAGTCGTAAGTATGGTCAAGACCTTTTGGTAATTTAATTTTCTTAATATAGATGGCGTTTTTCCCGATATACTTAAGAAAACATATTCTTTCAAATTGAATCTCCAAATGTAGTAAATAAGTATTGATTACTCAAACTAAATCTACAGTGACCGTAGAGCTATAATCTTTTTAACTTACTCAAATAAAACTATTTCTTGTCCAGGGATGTGGTAGAAGAACCAATGGTACTGGAATCCAAGCTGCATACAAATGAAGACCATTGTACGTTTAGTGATTGGTACGAATGGTCACCATGCGTCCCTGATGAAGGCATCTGTGGCTTTGGCACCCAAATACGAACTCGATCAAGGATGGATGCTCACAGCAAATATTCTGTAAGTACAAAAGGATGTTTTTTAAAACTTAGAAACAGCCAGTTTCAGTATTTTAATTTTACTAATATTATATATAAATGCGAATGTTCGGATGGATGTTTGTATGAGGTATCTCCAGAACACGTGCCTGGCACTCGCTGAAATTTGGCACAGATGTAGAACATAGTCTGTAAAAACACATAGCCTGCTAAGTAAGTCTTTTTTAATTACGCGCGGAGTCGCGGGCGACAGCTAGTGATTACATTAACAGTGTAAGCTTCCAGTTCTAAACATACAATAAGAGAAGTATCTTAATGACCTTTAGCCGTACAACTTTGGATTTCCATTTTTGTAACATTTGTGTTACATTATGTTTTGCAGGATAATGTAAACGCGCCACGAGACATTGCAAGTTGTCCAGAAAATGTGTTGATGGAGTCGCAAGCTTGTTACGTTGGTTGCTGAAAATAAAAATAAAAATTTATAACTAAAAAATCGTATGTTTCACTTGTTAATACAACACGCGTCAAATAGGAACTAAATGAAACAAACGTTTTGCGAAAATTTTATTTATTTTAAAGTTGTATTTAAACATTTTTCGCCTTTTGCCCTATTGTAAATTTCCTATAATATTTAACATGTTATTTACTCTTTAACACTTAAAAACGAAAAAACTAAATAAATAAATAATTTTATAGATACCTGGAACAATATTTACAATAAGTAGGTAGTTATAGTTTATGCTAAAATAATTTAGGTAGGTTTAAGTACATATACAATTAAACTTACCATAGTTTTAGTTCTACTTGTGTCGACTTGTTGTGACTCCAGGTCACCCTGGATATAGTCGTTTTTGCGCGAAACCAAACAGGTTTGAAAGATTCGCGTTCGCCAACCGTGATGGGCAAAGGGAACGCGGTAAGATCGCAGCAAGACCACATTGTTGCGCTAGTCAAGTATGAATATAGCTGCGGATGGCGCATGCTCGACCTGCAACGGACCGCCTCGCCTCGCGCGATCGCAACTTGTTGATTGTTCGCTCACTTCACGCTAGTCTGCCGCGAACGATGCGCGAGGCGGTCGTGTCTCCCGTTGCGTCGTTGTTCACTCCGTACTTCGAAGTTATTTTACGAAAATATGTGAAGTTTTCAAACCTTAAATTAGGAAGAACTACCGCGACGGATGCGGTCTATAGTTTTTAGTTAACTTAGAAACCCTTAAATAAGTAGTTTTAAGTTATCGAAACTTAATAGGCTTACTCACTTTACCTGTATGCTTCGTCCCACGACTCGTGCGAAGCGGTTACCTTTATCGGATAAACGGACATTTTTCAAATGGATGTGCGTTTGAATTCTGTGATAGTGTGCTTGTTTAGTGTAATCCCAAAACTTTTTGAGTGCACCCACGAGGCTTGTGACAAGTTGTTACTTTTGTGACGTGTTAAAAGTTGCTATGAAGTTGATAAAGAAAATGTTGCCGCGCGGGGTAGAGAGGGGCTTCCTCACCGCGCTGTTGCTCGGCTCGCTTGCGGTGGCGTCGTCCCAATACACTAAAGGTAGGCAGTAAAGATGGCTATAAGTTTTCTTACCTGTGCACGCGCATGGCCATGCCCTATGTTTGTCGCTCGCTCTTTGTTCGTTTGTTCGACGGTCTATTGTTTACTACTCGAAATAGCCCATAAAGTGTTTAGACTTTTTTAACATGACGTCATTATTCTAAGAAATTCATAAACAAGATAATACACATCTATTGACTTTCTCAAGAATGAAACAGAGATTGATATCCCATTACATGTCCGGGTCTCTGTGTTATGTTCACATTTCTTCCGCGATAAGTGTTCGTTTCCTTCCAAGTAGACGTCAATGACTACCTTTCACAATCTTGTGATACCACGAAACGTAATAAACATTTGAGATATGATATAAGTCAGCAACTAGAAAATGTAACGGATAATGTAAAAAATATACGGAGCAATTCAGTAGCCAAAACAATTCAGTACTCATGACGTCAATCTATTTAAGTAAAAATATGTATACATATTTAATTTAACTGGATTGTTACGCCTCGAATACACGTGGTATTTTTCTTTTAACCATAATCATAATTGGATATAATGAATATTCAAATATAAAACAATATATTAAAGTTTTAATAATTACATAAAACTTGAAGTTTAAAATTTATAAAAACATGGAATTTTTAAGTTATGACCGCCCTTCGTAGTGTTGTTGGGTATAACTATGAAGTTTTCGTATTTCTTATTTTTGTTGCTTTGAAGTTTAATATTGTTGAAAAAGTTTGTTATGCTGCGACGACTTTTAACGATGGATTTATTTCTCGCTGAACAAATTTATGCCATGCGTCTTATTTACAGTTTTTTGTAATATTTACGAGGCGTACAATTGATGTCCATTTTAGTACCATATATTTAAGCGTATATAATAATAATTCAAGAATGTTAATGCAGCATAACGTTTAAGCAAAAAGTGAATAATCTATACTCTATAATAAAAAGTATTAATGTTAAAAGAGAAAATATTTGTTAGGCTCCGTAAACTGAAACGATTTGAGAAATACTTTCACTATTGGGAAGCCTCCCTATCCCTGGGTGACAGATTATATTTATTACTTACTGGATTATTAATTCAACGAAGTAGTAAATACAAATCTAATACATAAATAATTCAGAGCATGTTTCTTTGAAATAAATTTCAATAGTAACTTCCTAAACAAAACGTTCGTTCTTACAAGTTAAGCATACAAAATGATAGGTTAGGTGGCAAGCCCTTGTAGTTGTGTTACAATAACAGATCGGCGATGAAGTTGCCTCGGTGAAAGGTAGCCGTGCGCACGACGTACCCATTGTTAGTTCGAATTAAACCACAATGTATACCAATATCCGAGTAACAAGGTTCAATCACACGATATACACGAACTTTTTACGTCAATACTGTAATAAAGTATTTATTTCAATACTAGATGTCGCGGAATAAAAAAAACTAAGTAAGAAGCTTATGAGTTCTTTCAGACTAAATTCTACATCTTCGCCAAATTTCAGCTGGACCTGTACAACCGTTTTGGAGATACTTTATAACAAACATCCATCCATTCATCTAAAAATTCGCATTTACAATATAAGTAAGATTTAAATCATCCTACTCTAATTGATTGAAATAAGACTTTGCGGGTCAATGACCTTCTCGCGTTAAAATCACTTCAAAGTACAGATTTAAACAAAAACTATATCGTAAAATATTCTATGACGTCACAATATGGCGGCAATTTATGCACAATTATATTTAAAACACATTGTACATGCTAAAAACATTACCCTACATCTGAACAGGCGGAACAAATAAACATAAAAATTAAAGGAAGTAGTATTGTCTGAAATAATAAATTTACAAGGATACTTTACTTTCTCTGCATATATTCAACAATGGAGTAAGTCATTATAATAAAATCTCCCTATTAACAGAACACACATAGAAAAACTAGGTAGTTAATTAACCTTTATTTGTAATACGGTACTCTACAGAACTTATCTTATATATTTTTCAACATTTCTGTCCTTAATTATTATTAAGAACAGAATATACTAATTAGCCTAAAACAACTGTATTGTTCACTCTATTAAGATAGTCTTATCTCACTGGGGAATATCTTCTATTTTTGTTCTTACAAATTATACCCTATTTCAAAACTTTTTACTTTGCAATTTATTTAGCACACATATTTTACAATTGTCAAAAAATGCACAGTTGACTGACGAACATTTGATTAAATACGTTGTTCCTAAAAAAAGTAGGCTAACGTCCTTATTCTAAAGTGTTTGGAAAAGTAAAAGTTCCGTATGTCAAGAACCTGGGACATCCTAATAATGATTTTTTTTAATGGCTCACTAATATGATTTGTCAAAGTTTTCTTCGTCACGTCAAAATACCTTTAAAATAACTTATTATATTACGTAAGTTTCTTTTAATATCGAAAGCCTAAAAGCCGTTAAAGAAGTACAAAAAGTTATTCTAATAAAAAGTGTTTTGTACAACCGAGGACCTAAGTAGTTTGTCTCGGGTCGGAAAAAAGTTCGTTTTCTTCAATCTTATTACAAGATATATTAATGCAAGCAGTTGTCCGCGACTTCGTCCGCGCGGAATTAAAAAATCTAACGTTAAATATAGCCTATCACCTGGGTATTGTGTAGCTTTAAATCGGTTCAGCAGTTTCGTAGCCTTTTCAATGCAAACAAAAATTTTTTTTCATAATATTAATATAGATAATGTGCTTTCTGTTTATCTGGCATGAAAAACTTGCAAGAAACTATTGAATGTCTCGTTATTTTTTTATACGATTAATAAACATATTTTTGAGTTATATGCCTAAACAATAAATTATGTTCATAAATTAAATGTTGATATAGTAATAGATTAATAGGTTAATCTTGTGTAATATCTTCCTCGTAATTTATGTAAGGTACGCTTTGTGTTGACGTTTTTGCTTGGGGCGGTCGCGCCTACGTACCAACTCTGGAATTTACTTGTTCGTTGAGATACAATTTCAAACATTATGCCTGTTTCACACGAGGTGCTTTGGCTTAGTTCACTTCCTGTGTGGTATTGGAATTACAAAACATCCTCACAAACTTAATAAGTAGCATATGTGTCCTGCCAGACTGTTCTACATGCATACCAAATTTCAGCGAGATCTATGCAGCCGTTCCGGAGATACCTTCAAACAAACATCCATCCATCCATCTATACATTCGCATTTATAATATTTGTAAGATAGGTGTAGATTTAGTATGAGAAGTCTACACTAAGTCTCCGGTTAGTGACGTTAAACTACACTGAGAACGACAGTTAAACTTTCTAAGAGTTGTCAGTTCAAATACTATTATACAAATCAAAAAAGTGAAGAACAAGACGTAGATATGTTTTATTCGTTTGTTATACAAGAAAAAACTCATTGTCATTTTCATTTTTCTCTATCCCTACTTATTTATCCGGGCAGGCGATACCAAAATGATCTTATCTCATGTAACTCCTAATAACATTACTGCTAACCAGTATTAATGTGAAACCGGTGTATTTAATTCTTTGTTACATGAAAATGTTTTTGTCTCTTGCTTCGGGCAATAAGGAAATTTGTACAAACAGATGAAGACGTATTTACGTTGTATATTTATAATCTTATATTAACGTTTCCATTTCCTTGTTTTGTTAAAGACATTTCTATTTTATTTTTCTTTTATTACCTTGCGGTTTTTCTTAAATGTTTTTGAAGTGTCAATTAAAAAGAGAAGTTAAGATATAATCATAGCACAGTATTAAGATAATGGTGTTTTTCATTGCAATTATCATTGACGGGTTTCTAAGACTCACTTGGGCATTAAAAGTATTTTAAAGTATTTTTGAAAGTCGATGTAATAACGAAGTTTCTTTACAAACATTTCAAAATCTATCTGA